AATTCAATCACCCGTCATCGTATTGTTATTTCTCTAATTAATCACTAGTTTAATGATTGACAGTAATGTAAGACTTGGGGAAGAATTTTATAGAGAAGTGCGTGTATTTCACAACGAAATAACGAGTGTGGCATATGCATCGTGGGTGTAGACATAAAGGGATGGCTGCAGCATGTAGTTGGAGTGTTCCCAATGAGGAAAGGAGAAGGTTGTTGTAGGTTGAGGTAGGTCGGAAAAAGCAATATGGCTGATAGAACCGGTTACCATGGAAACAATTGTGGGGCGGAGTTAAACCGTTCTTGAAAGGAGGAGCTTAATGTTGGCGGCCATCATGGTTTTGCTCTCCGAGAGACGTCGCCATCTGGTGTTATTTCGCTCAACTTCTCTTATATATATATATTACTCTCACCCTAGAGTTGAATTCCTGAAAACCCAGATTTGCCTCGACCCTCCTGGGTGACGGTATATTGCTATCAGAGGTCATTACTCCGTACTTCAAGCATATATATGTATAGCAACCATCAAAGTTCAATGCTGATTGATCGATACATGTTATACGTTTGTTATTGTTTAATCAAAAAATTGCTATATATTTATTTACTAATAAATGCACTGAAAAAAATTATTCTGAAATTTAGAATACATATATACTTGGGACATATTTTAGAATATTCTAAAATACACAGAAAGAAATGCTATCGAAATTTCAGCCATAAACTTATGGTTGAGATTTCTGATTGAATTGCTTATATAGTCTGTCAAATTGGCAAGTAAGTTAGGTTATATTAGCCATGTGAAGTCTGATTCAGACATCTTGCTCTTTGGAAGTACTATTCGTTTGGTTGGATTACCCAAACTGTATGGCAGTAACAGTGCCATGTTAATTCAGTTATACGATATGACAGAAACAGCAAGAATTATGGCAGTAATTACTAAAAATTTCTTTCAGTGCGTAGGTCTCAAGTGTATATTCTAAATTTTAGAATATTTTTTTTCGGTCTAGTTACAATAATTTTATCACGAAATATTTAACAAATTTTGACGCAAAAACTTAACAACATTCAGATATCATCAATCTTGTAATTGGATCATATTTTTAAGACAAACAAGAAGAAAAGGTAGGTTAACAAAAAGAGACTGGTCTCAAAATGAGTAATGTACGCTATATACTCTAAACCTGAATCTGTGAAAATTTCATTGATTTCAATTCATCAAAGAAAACTCGTCTACTAAATTGAAATCAGTGAAATTTTTACTGATTCAGATTTAGAGTATACTCGTTTTGAAGTGCAATAAAAATGACTTAGGTAGGTGGCGACACTTCTTTTCGTTTAGCATTAACTTATTTTAGAACTGCAACAAAAATAAGACTAAGTTTTGAATCTATTATAGTATTGACCTTTGAATTAAATTTTTAAATAAAGATGTGAATTTATTTAATTGAACAATATCGTGATGGTATGATAATTATCTAGATTCTACATGGAAAATACTTCATTTGGAATAGTGAAAAGTTTTGCGTATTCTAAAATAGTGAAAGTTTTAACTGAAACAATTAAAACTTTTGCTATACATATATATATATATATATTCCAGTGAAATATATAGTTTCGCTGTTTCAGTTAAATCTTTTATATTTCATAGAGAGATATATATTATAAAAATTTTGATAAAATTATAAATCTCTAATATCCATAAAATTTTAACTCTTGTATTAAAAAATTAACTGACATTATGTTCCTCAATGTTCCTTATAGAATATAATTTATATATATAAAATTAACAGAAATTATTTCGAAAATTTTCCAAATGGACAACACGATTCTGCTTTTCGGGGAATATTTTAAAACATATATATAACCAATAAATACATATATGTGTTTCAGTATAATGAAGCCGTTTTCACCGTATGGATAAATTTAATCCTCCGAGAGAAGTTAAAAGCAGTAGATATATTCTGCGTCTGCGCAGAATCTCTATATACAAATATTTTGCGCAGACGCAGAATATAGCTACTGCTTTTAACCTCTCGGAAAATTAAATTTATCCACACGGTGAAAACGGCGTCAATATCAAAATCACATTTTGCATCATACATTAATGTTCTTGACTAATTGCAGTGTAATATAATATACATTTCGCGATGTATGGCTGGATATTTATATTTTATTGTTCATTTAATGTTGCTATGCATACCTGTCGAAGTAGTTGGACATATGGTATATATATGCATGCATATATAATATATGTTGTAATACCAGATTACAAAATTCGCATTTATACTTGTTTATGTCAGAGATAAATATTATATATATATACACACATACGCAGAATATTATAACTCGAATAATGTCGCTATTACTGTATATTCAAAACAACCGCACATTTTCATGAATTTGTGCAAAAATGAAACTTGTAAAGAGATACTTTGTTGATATGTACAAGATATATCCAATCCAACAATCTGCTTGACACTGCAAGTATATATATATAACATATACGTGCCGCGCGTTTATTGTCGATGACGCGATATGACGACAACTGGTCACGTGCACTCTCCTTTTAACCACTATTACGTGTGTGAAATTCGAGCAAAAGGTTATCAGTGCAATTGCGAAAGCAAAAAGGATATGTAATACTGTGCCAATACCGATATATACCGACATCGGTTTACTGCTTTATACACTGCGTAATGTCTTATATATAGCTATAATCAATATATTAAGTCATATCTCATATATTGTTATTAGTACAAATATTCAGTTCTCTTGTTTTCAGCTTCTAATTTTCAATATAGTGTCTTCATTTAAGACGTTTTAGTGTTAAGTCATATAGAATAAAAGACATTTTTGACCATTTGGGTATCTTAAAGATTGCTCGTCCTATTTCGTCTCAATGAAAGTCAGAACTACCAAACGCAAATAGCGTACACTCGTGGCCAGATATGCCTATACACTTTTTTGTCCTTTTCTAATGCACATGTTGTCATGGCAACACGTGTGTTATAGAAAAGGACAAAAAAGTGTAGGCATATCTGACCACGAGTGTATACTCATTGGTTGACTATTTTCTTTTAGTTTGGCACTGATTTATATCTAACCTAACCTATAGTAATGGTCTTATTTAAACTGTCACAATGGTAAACGGTTGTTATTTGTTATTCACTATTGTAAAGGATCCTCATTATAAATTACAAAAACAATGTGTGAAGCAGCCACGAAACATGCATTTTATTTTAAAATTAAAACTATGATCGCTTTGATTAATTTTCACACGACTGTCAATATTCTTTTAGGTTATGTATTCACCAGTATATTATTCAGTCTGGAAAGACACTTCTAGCGTCTCAAATAAGGCATTTATAATGTCTCATTTGGAAACACCCATAAAACATCATAAAACGTATTTTTTTGACATCGCAGTTTAAAGATTTATTTAACATTTTGATTCTGGTTAGGTTAACCAGAATTCTGGTTATTTTAACGAGAATTCTAGTTAATTCAACTAGAATTCTGGTTAACATAACTAGAAAGTAATGTTAAATATAGCCTAACCAGAATTTTTTTTTTCAGTGTAAATTCATCAGTTCTTTATATAAATTTATACGAATAAGTATAATATAAATAAATGGGTTTTGTTAAAAAATTACAAAATTAAATTAAAATTTATGATTACATTTCTTATTTAAAACTGATGAATAAAAATGAAAATCTATAAAATTTTAAAATAAGGTTTCTGAGATTTAATAGAGAAAAAATAATTTACGTTTTAATTGTGGAATTTATAAGGTTGTAGAGAGAGAGAGAGAGAGAGAGAGAGAGAGAGAGAGAGAGAGGAAGAGGCTGAAGTCCTGCATTTATTGAACCGACAAGTCTGCTCGACCTTCAATTAGCGACTCTCGCTTGAGAGTGTACAGGTCGCTCGTGCTTTCGCGTTGAATTCGACATGTTAACGAGAGCGTTGAGTAAACCGAGCGTGAGAAACAACCCACACCCCGGTAGTCGACAGTTATGAATAATGCATAATATAATCACAATTATATTCTTCATACTTATTCATACATCAAGTGCGATTTAATCACTGAGAAACACGCTCGTGCGTCGTATATTATAAATATATATATATATATATACTTCTAAAAAGCGCAACTGTTATGTATATTTCTATATTGTAACCAATTACCGCATATAAAGGTATTTAACAAAAGTTACATTGATTAAATATTTATACTTTTATTTATATTGAGTATAAATTTTTTATAATTATTGAAGAGACTATTTAGTTTTGTGTCAATCAAATTTTTATTTAATTAAAATAGGGCAATTTATTTTCTTAAGTGAACTGTTATACTTCAATTATCTTTGAAGGGGTGATAATTAATAATTGTTGAAGATAATTAATGATTTAAAATGTCATTTATAACTTAAAGTATTTAATTTAATAATTACTATAAGAACTTCAATTTATTATTATTATTATTCTTTATAGATATACATTTTTAACTTTTTCCTCTTATTGTTGGGACATTCTTTTTCTAGCGGAAGTAATTGGTGTCATTGATACAAAATTTACTCGGTTGGAAAATTTATATCTCAAGAACCCCGGAAATCTTTATAGAATACTCTATACTTGTCGAGTTCAAATCGTTCGCGCACTGAATACTATGGTTGTAAACAGTTTTTGTACCGTTCACTTTGGATTAATTTATCATCATATATATATGGGTGATTCTCCGCGTAGCGTATAATTTAGTTATTGCTATTAAAAAATTTTGTTTTACAATTTAACAAAAATTAAATTATAATCTTCAGGGTTCAGGCCAATACTAATTAAAAATTAAATTACGTATTTCAATATTTCTATTTGAAAAAAAAGTTTGGATGATATATGCAAAAAAAAAAAAAAAATTAACAATTCTGATGTTAAAATGTGAATAGTGCGCAGGATGTGCACAATAAAGGATTAACATTTTTTCATGACAAAAGCATTTTATGTTACAGGTTTTAGTAGAATACGACGATGTAGAATGGCAAAGAAGAGAATGGTTATCACCTCACAGGGATGCGGTTTTTTCATTTTTTCTCATAGAAAAAGGTCTTTGTTGGGCCGAACGACCTGACCCCAGACACACCAGCCTTATCGCTATCGACCACCACAACCATTCAAACAACAATCATCATCTTCGCATCAACGGAAAATCATTACGGGGAACTACCGCCGCTGCTAACACAGTTGCTTGGCCAGCAATCGTAAGTATATCTCTTTCATAAAACACATAATATTTTTAAGGAGATTATAGGGATTGACTGAACTAATCAAAACAGTAAACCATTATTTTAATGACGCACACTGATAAGTTACCAACGTTGAATCGATGAAAAGAATCTTTTTCCTAAGATTGAATATTTCTTCGCCTTGGTTGAGGATTTTTAGTCTTTAAGGATGTATTTGCGATCAAAATAAAGATAAGTTTCAATTTAAAAAAAAAAATGGTTCTTGGCAAATGGTTGTTTACATTCAGTTTTTAAGCTATCATCAATTCAGCATTTCCTAATTTTAACTACTTTGTGGTGAGTAAATATGTATGAAAAATTACTCAATTTCCATATATGACTCAATGTTAATTGTTAAAAAACAAAAATGCTCATTACCTTTGCACAAAAACCTAGAGGTCTCAAAAATTTAGCTACATAATTTTCAAACATTTAGCTAATAGTGGACCAAGTTTCATTCAATGTTTAATGTTAATTCTATTTCCGCTATAGTCTCCTTAATATTAATTTAATCTCAAAATTCATTGCAAATATAAATATATGAGAAAAGTGAATTTTAACACGCACTGATATAACTCAAGTTAAATAATAATTTATTCATATATAAAAGAAAATATTTTGTTAAATGGAATTTTCTTTTTGACAAAATTTCATTTAGACAAATTTTAATTTCTCTGAATTAGTATATGGGCATATCTCTAGAACTTTTAAACTTTGAGATATTAGAAAAATTAATTTTTTTTTCAGGGCACATTCGTGAAACAAATTTTATTGTCTTCAGTATTGATCAAATACTATAAAAAAATTTGCGTAACTCATTTTTACACATTGTTACGCGACACAGTGGGCCTTATTGCAAAAAACATGCCCAAAATCTCTAGATGTGTTTAAAACTAACTTATATTTGTTACTCGCGGATTTTTTTGGTCGCTGATTACAAATCCGACGTTAGTTTTTCAAAATTCAAAATGGCGGATCCAATATGGCGGACGACTTTTAAAAAAATTGATCGAATTTGGCAGAAATTTGTTACTCGGGGGTTTTTTGGGTCGCTGATTACGAATCTGATCTTAGTTTTTCAAAATTCAAAATGGCGGATCCAATATGGCGGACAACTTTTTTAAAAAAATTGATCCAATTGGCCTGAAATTTGTTACTTGGGGGTTTTCGTAGCTTAGTTTTTGTAACCATGTACATAAAATTTAAAGTTTCATTACTAATATTTAAAATGGTGTATCAAATATGTCAGAAAGATATTTTTCAATTATTCAATTTTTTAAAAAATTTTGTTTGCAATTTTGGATCCACCATTTTGAATTTTGAAAAATTAAGTTCAGATTCGTAATCAGCGACCCCATAAACCCCCGAGTAACAAATTTTAGGCCAATGGAATCAATTTTGTAAAAAGTCATCCGCCATATTGAAAAAACTAAGTTCAGATTCGTAGTCAGCGACGCAAAAAACCCCCGAGTAACGAATTTCAGGCCAATTGGATCAATTTTTTTAAAAGTCATCCGCCATATTGGATCCGCCATTTTGAATTTTGAAAAACAAAGTTCAGATTCATAATCAGCGACCCCAAAAACCCCCGAGTAAGAAATTTGAGGGCAATGGGATCACTTTTTTAAAAAGTCGTCCGCCATATTGGATTCGCCATTTTTAATTTTGGAAAATTTAAAATTCAGATTAGTAGTCGCAGTGACCCCAAAAACCTTTGAGTGAGAAATATCAGCCAGATTTAAACACATCTATTAGTTAATACTTAGTTTTCTTCACAAACTATGCGTCGGACAGTTTAGGTTTATATTCATTATTAATTATAAAGTTTTAATGAAGTCTGCAAAGGTTAACGATTTTTCTGTAGACTTTTATAATGCATGAGAAGAGATTACAATGAGTTGGGAGCATTTAGAAGCAAAATTCAACATGTGCTTTCAAATATGTGGTTTTTTTATATGAGTTACGTTTTAAAATTTAATGTTTGAAGTCATTGCATTCTTTGTGTAAAGAAGGCACACATTCCTGTATGGGTTCAAATTACTTCTTATTAGGTAGATAATATAATCCCGTTGTGCCGTTACTCAAAAACCTTCGTTAAAAAAGTTATATCAGTTTAACTGCTAACTTGTAGAAATTTTGAAAAAGTTGTCTCGCAAGTTTGAAGCTACATAGTTTTTATTCAATTTGAGGCACATCATTGTTTCATGGATTTTTTAGTTCTTCACACTCCCACCTACTTCTATTGCAAGCCACAAGACACACAATGTTTCGTTAAAAAAGTTACAGTCTATAAACTAAAAAAAACAGTCAATATCACACACTAGAAACTGTCGATTTCACAACTTTAACTTACGTTCGTCATTTCCTACATAATTAAAAAAATTATATAACGCATGATACATTTAAAAAGCCCTATAATTGGTCAAATTATGGTATTGAAAAATTATTAAAAAAATTCTTAAGGTATCATAATGAGCGATAACATAAAGTTTAAAAGTTCTAGAGATATGCACATATATTTAAAAAGAATTCTCATATAAACTCAAACAATTTTAGAAGATCTAGTTATACTCATATTTCATTGAATAAAATAAGCTATTGTTTAGAAAAATTAAATAAAAATTTCGATTTTTGTCTAAGTTGAAAGAAAAGCTCAACATAATTTTTTCTTAAAAATGTATATAACATAGATGTATTCTAAAATTATTTGAAATTAATTTTTATTAAAGTTTTGTTTGCGTTAAAAAACATTTTTCAATTTTGTGATTATTTTTGAACTTTCCATCAACCTTAAGAGTTGTATAAAAATAACAATTTGTGTAAATAAAAATTTCGTGAATTTTGATAATTAAAAATTCGGTTACATAACAATTTTGCTCAATTAAAATTTGATTGAATAAAAATTCCGTTAAAGATATTCTGTTTTATATGAAAATTATTGTGATTTAAATATAAATTCTATCTAATAAAAATTCAATTATGAATGAATGAGTAGAATATACATATAATATTGGATGGAATTTTTATAATGAAGTATTTTCATTTTAAAGCTCTCGATTATATTGATTTTTTTTTATTTATTTTTTGTAAAAGCATTAATATTGAATTGAATATAATAATTTAATCTTGTACATCAATATATATATTAACTTGGAGTTATGGTGCTTGATATTTCAATTCCTTGTTTGTGTATACCATTGATGCAAGTAAATTATGTTTTGATAACCATCTTTCGAATCCAAAGAGGGATTTACAGCTCCTTTGCCGATAATCAATATATAAGTAAATAAGATCCGGGATAATATGTAATAAAATTTATCGCACTGAACATAGAAAATGAGTTTTAAAGTAATGGATATAATTTGTATATAGTTGTATGCTAAAAATATATATACATCAACAATAGAGTATATAATACTCCCACGATTAGATATAGACTATTAATTATATACTTATATATATATGCATATATATATGTATCTGTATAGGAGATTTAAAGCTAGCCTTCAGTACATTATTTTGTATATATATATACACTATTATCCTATATTTCACATAAATTGGTATTTGAACGCCTCTGCAATTTTTGGTTCCATGAAGTTATGATTTTTATTTCGTTAAACTTTCAGTGAAAGTGTTTATTTGACTTAACCAAACAGTTGAAAATTAATTAACAAATTTAATATCTTGGTTTTATTAGTATACATTCAATTCTGTGGTTTGCAAATAAATATTTATTAAAATTTTATTATAATTTTTTTTTTACAAATTTTTAATTTTTTAAATTTAAAGAGTTTTAAATTGAAATCAAAATTTAATGTGCCTGAAATTTCAAACATTCTAATGAACGAAAAATTTTGCCTATTACTTTTTTAACTTCAAATTATATTTTAAATTATTTCTTTCTGTATCCAAAAATAAATTAATAATAATGTATTAAAAATTTAATAATAGGTTACTTGACTATTAATTTAATAAATATTTATTTGTATTAAATAATTATTATTTGAATTAATTACATAGTATTTGTTTCAAATAAAATTTATTTAATTCAAATAATAAATTATATTTAATACAAATAAATAATTTATTTGATAATAATAAAGTAATTGACTATTTGAATTATAAATAATTATTTTTTTTAATGTAGATACAGAAAAATTGCATTTTACTCAAATTATAAATTTTTTTTGTTTTTAACATATTTCTTTATTTTTCACACTTTTAAAATTATGTAAATATTTTTTTTTTTTTAAAAATACATGTACAATGTAAATATTGTGACTATACACACACCCAGGAGTAAAGATCTTCCTTTGATGAGTGTAAATATCGTTTGAAGTATTACTAAAATCGCTGAAATCCCTTTTGATTCATCGTTATTGAGAAAGCTTCGAGTGTTTACAAAAGCAATGCCGTCAAGTGTTCGCAACCGGAAGCAATGCTGCTCGCATGCAAAGCATTTGCTAATTTATATCTCCACATTATGTACATATATATGTATATGTACCTTGTATAAGATATATAATATAAATGTGTGTTCACTTTTACTTTTTCTTTTGCAATTTTTTTTATATATACAATGAGAAAAATATTTAGTCAGAGCAACCAAAATTTGATTGGATTAACAAAACAATTTTGTTGGTATTTAAACAACCAAACTATTTGTTTGAGTCAACCAAAAAATTTGGTTGAGTGTTTTTTGTTGGCATAACAAAAATGTTTGGTTAGCTCAATCAAATTTTTTTTGTTAGGTCAACAAAAATGTTTGGTTGATCAAACAAACAATTTTTTTTGTCATCAGTAAAAACCACTGATTCTCAGTGAAATTCCATTGGTGAATTAAAGAAAACTGAGCCACTGATTTGAATTCAGTGAAATTTTAACTCATTCAGATTTAGATTGTGGCCACTGGACTATCCATCCTTGTGAGAGATTTAAACTAACTGTTCTCTTAAGCTATGAGCTGAGAGCGAATCAAATTATTTGGTTGTCGCAACCAAATTTTGGTTAGGACAACAAACGATCATTTGGTTTTTTAGACCAAACTATTTTGTTGTGTTAACCAAATTAGTTTGTTGTCGTAACCGAATTTTGGTTGGAATTTAAAAATGTTCAACCAAATAATTTTGTTAGCCTAACCAAATGTTTGGTTGAGATAACTCTGCGACTTTGTTTCAGCCAAACAAAATTTGGTTACAAGAACCAAAATTGTCTAATAAAACAATTTTGTTGCAATCACTAAATTTTTTTTCTCAGTGTAGCGAGAGAAATACTATTCGCACTTTTTGGATTTTTCTCATTGCCGTAAACTTTTAATTATAATTAACGAACTTTTAATTACTCTCTGAATTTCTTTTTCCCTTTGGGGGCTCTTTGAGAAAGCTTCTTTAAAAAAAAAAAGAAAAAAATTTAAAAAGTTTCACGCTATTTCTTCTATTCTAAAAAGTTTGATATTGACAGAAACTCTTATATGTTTGCTTTATTTCATGCACATCAATATTGAAAACTTTTTTCTTCTGCATGTGTTTTTCTTTCATTTAGTGTTTTTTAATTAAAAAGTTGTTGCAATAACATTTTTCTTGAATTCGAGATTTTTTTTTACTTATTTTTTGTTGTTTTTAATAATTGGAATTTTTTGTGATAAAAAAAATGTGTATTTTTAATTTTTTGTAATTTTGTCGAGTTTGCAATATTACAACGTCGATGAAATTTACAACGTTTAGGATTGAGGATTGAAAAAAAAATATTTTTCATTTAGAAAATATTTAATTTTTATGCTTACAAATTTCTTTTTTCAAAAATTGTTGATCAAAGAATCGTTCTAAATATTTTTTTTAAACAAAATTTTCTTAAAAAATTTGCACTGAAAAATATATTTTTTTTAATTTGTTGATAATAAATTTTGTGAAATTCACCGACGTATATTACAAGATAAATTTAAGTTTTTCTTTTATTTTTTTTATTTATTTAGATTATAGACAAAATTTTTTATCGAAAATTCTCAGTTTTTTTTCTATATTTTTTTTCATGTAAAAGTTTGAAAGGATTGATAGAAGTTTATTTAGGAAACAATTTTTTTTCATTTTGACTAAATTTTGAATTTGTTTGTAAATATTTATATATATATTTTTTTTAAGTACTCGACATATTATTATACTGAAAATTTTTTTTACTTATAATATACACGGAAATGAATGAATTAGCTGCAGTTGCTAACTGAGAAATTAAATTTTTAAAGTTGAAAAAGAAGTTTTCTGTAAGGGAGAAATGAAAGAAATGTCAAGCATAAGTAGAGAAAGAAATTTTCAATAAGACAGAAATATATAATATATAAGGTAGAAAATGATTTTTTTGTATAGAAAAAAAAATTGGAAGAGTATAAAACTAAGGAAATAATAAATATATTGGTATTTATATTGGTACAAATATTTTCTACTTTTATATAAATAAATTTATTTATTCTTCTATTTTTTATTTCTACTTACATATTTTTAAAATTCAATTTAAAAAAATAGATTTAAATATTAGCGCCAAAAAATGAAAGTCTTCGACTGCAGCGCTATCGAGTTTGCTTTCGATACTTTTCGATATTCAACCTACTTCATCATGTCATGTCTGTTTCAGACGTTTTCATTAGAATAGAAGAGAATAGAATTACAATTCAAATTTATTTATCAATTCTTATTACATGAAAATTGTGTTTATTAATTTATGTGAATCAAAATCAAAGGTGAAATTACGTGAATAAGTAATAAAATCAATATTACATTCATTGAACAATTCATGAATCTTTTCTCTCGCTTGCTGTTATAATGGCGTCTATATTATTTTGCCATTTTGGTGTTATCATATTCGATATATTTAATTATATTCAATTATTATGTATTCGTGGATCAATTTAAAAAGTGCTTGTCATTTTTAATTTCAGACTTTCTATCCACTCGTGGCACGTGCAGAACTTCCGGAGGAGTCAATGCCTGTGGAATTCATGCAAGACCGTAGATTGGATTTTGTCGACTACTCAAAGCTCAAAGCATTCACAGTGAGTTTTTTCATTCTTTATTTTACATTATATAAAATTAATTTCAATTATTTTATTCCTTGATTTAAAAAAAAATCCATTTTTTCTCTATAATGAGATATATACATAGACACTTGACATAACCTCAAACATTAAAATAGTTTTATAGAAAATGGAAAGTGACATTTCTAAATAGAACAATTGAAAATTAAAATAAGTAATAATAATGATTATTATTTAACAAATAGTGTTTTGTTTTAAAACTGATTAAAGTTTTTTTTTTGATAAATTTAAAAAATTCAGTAAATTTTTCAATTTTTTTTTCATTAGTTGAGAACTTTGATTTTACGGTTTTTTTCTTTTTTTTTTTTATTATAAAACGAATAGGAAAAGTTGTGGTAAGAAAAAACATCTTGGCCGGTTATACTCTCTCTTTTATTTTTCTTGTCATTCATTTTCTTTTTGGAGAGAGATTAAAAGATACGAATTATTCTGCCGAAGCGATTAAGAACTACCCACTTTGGCTGTTCTGCTTCCGTTTTACGACTGGAAACTTACTTCGTTACCAACTTAGTTAAGAACTGCTTGCTCTCGCTTTTGAGACTTCTCTCCTCCCTCTCTTTGCTTTTCATGAAAACCCCCCTTGGCAAGGAAGGAACGACGTCTTACCTGTTCCACCAACGGTAATCTTTCCTCAGTTAGATAACTTGAAAGTTTCTTCTTGAGAAGTTTGCCAAACTAGAATTTCAGTCTTGCCAAAGTAGTTTGTCTCTATAGTTTAAATGCATTTTTCAAGTTCGCAGGATCGATGATCAAATCAAAGTCGTAAAAGTGCAAATTTCTTTTTCAATAAGAATATCAAAGGTCAAATCTAAGTGTTAAAGAAATTTTTTTTTTTTAATATAATATACTTATTTTTTCTAATTATAAAAATTAGAATAGAAAAATTTTTATATAGTTTAAATTGATTATCTATTTATTAACTATTGTGCTAATATAATTATTAATTTTACTTTTCATTTTAATCACATTTAAAAAAAGTCTTTTAGTTCCGGATTTATTACTTTTTTTTGAAAATATGCGAAATATGGAATACATAATGTTTTATTTGCTTCTGTTCAGGAAATATGAAATTAGGCCATTTCAGGTGAAACATTTCCTTTTTAAATAAATTTACGTTATTTGTATATATGTATATGTGGTGGAAGTATATACATACACATAAATAGAATATAAGGGAAAGTAGGAATTTGGGTACCATAATATCTGTCAGAGAAAATAATTCTCGTTATTTACGATGTAAAAATTTTATGCACATCAAGAGTAAAAAGAAGCGCTAATCCTAATTACAGAATATGACGGAACTAAGTAATAATTATTCATTCACACGACATATAACCATTTTTACATTATTTTTAATATTTTATATATATATATATGAATTAAATATTTTTATTTTAATATTAAAATTATTTTTTATAATTTCTGCATATAATATATTGAGTACCTAATAAAAATATAATTAAAATTAATTTTAATTTTAAATAATATTTAACATTATAGAAAGAGCTTTTGCCGATAACACCTGCTTGTCTGCGTGTAGTCAGATTAAAATCACATTTAAATAGGGCGTGCAAGCATAGGGGAACATTTTACCTTTTATCTAAAATCGCCAGTTACTTCTTCCCGGAAATGGATAGATCGAGTTAGTAAATTTCTAAACTAAAAATATCGCGCTTACCATCACATAACTAGCAAAATAAGATAGAATTTACAGTCGACTCTACTTATACTTTATTAATTTTTTTTTTCTTTATTTTAAAGTTTAGCTATTAAAAAATATAATTATATGTATGTGTGATTTATTTATTTTATAGTATATTTACTCATTAAGTGTGATAATTAGACTTTATTTCGAAAGGAAAAGAAACAAGATCATTAATCATTCTCATGAAAGATATATAATATATATAATTTTCTTAAACAAGCAAATGTGTTACTATGTATTTTTGTTATATATTTTTATAACAACATGAAATAAAAGAATTTTTATTTTATTTTCTGACAAAAACGAATAAGTTCATTAGTTATTAATTGCTAAGAGAGAAATACAATTTTTTTTGAGTAAAAAGTGCAAATTGTGCTTTTTTAAAAAATAATTACAAGCCTACAGAGATGCAATGAATTAATTGCTGGGTTTTAATTATTTTTATTGTAAATTTTCATTTCAATTTTATTCGACGCTTTTTATTTAAATTTTAAATTAAATTGACTCTACCTAAAGTTTTATTTAATTCAATTTTATTTTTTAATTTAGATTTAAAACAATTAATTATTAATTAATAGTAAGAAAAATTTAATAAACTTTCAGGAAATGAAAAAAGAAATATTTTTGATTTTCAATGGAAAATATTTTTATTGAAGGACTTTAGATGCTAAATTTTAACTATTTTATCAGTATAAAATTTCAATGATTTAAATTTAGAGAATACCGTATAGTTGAAAATGAAATGGATCCACTCTGGTCGTAGAATAATTGTTTCCAAGTAATTAAACTGACTAAACTTTTACCGTTAAAACTTGAGGAAAGTTTCTATTGTCCGCGAAAACTTGTTTACGTGCTAGGAAAGTTCTTTAGAAAAATAAGGTTTAATTTAAAGAAAAAGGGTTACATTTTTTTTTTGTTTTTTTTTTGGCATTGAAGAGTACATGAAAAAACCTTTAAATACCATTTTGTAGTTTGTGGTCACAAATATTATTAATCTCTAACTGTGCTAATAGATTCAAATTTTATTTAAAAAATTTAATTAATTTTAAAATCAATTAAATAAACTTAAAAGTACAAAAAAAATATTATTTTGTAACTGAAATTATAATTTTTTTTGCTTCCTCGTGGAGGAAGCTTTGTAGTCCTTTCGTTTATAAAACTTTTCAAAGTGGTGGAAACAAATTTTTTTCTTTATAGAAAAATGTTATATGAGATCCTGATCAATTGTCCGGATGTATGTATGTGTATGTGTGTGTGTGTGTGGATCCCTTTTTTGTTTAGAAGATAACTTTAACAGGTTTTAATGGATTTAGATAAAATTTGGTAGGCTCATTCATCATATTAATATCTCAAATCTGACCAAAGAATTTTGAAAAATACCCAAAAAAAAAAATTTTATCGTCTTTTTTCAAAAAATTTTTTTTTAATCGAAAAAATTTTTAAATAGAAAAATTTAAGGTTATATATAATAAAATCGTATTCCTTACGTCAAGACGAATCGATCGATATATATATAAAGTATACATTTGAGGTAAATTTAAAGAATTAGTGAAAGTTAAAAAATCAAAAATTCATATTTTGTCAATAAAATTTTGCTTTCTCCACGAGGAAGCAAATTTTTTTGCTGATCGTAAAGAGGAAGCAAAATGTTCATGAAATGAACATCTGAATTTACAACTTGTTTTAGATATTATATCGTTATTATTGAAAACATAATAATTATTTGTGACTTTCAATCGAATTAAAATTAAAAACTTAAAATCTCTCCTTTTTATTTAATCATAGTTCTGTTGTTATTGTTAAATAGTGTGGAAAAATTATTATTGAATAAATAAACGTTTCCGGATAGGGTAAATTACAATAATTCTAAATATAGTTATGTGCGCGATAATATCGATTCTCTTTACTATAATGTAATGGCCAGTGCCAGTAGTAAAAGCAATGTTTAACCAGACATCGTGATTTCTATAGTGGTTAATTCCGTATTTAACATTCGCGCTATATAGACTTGTGCTGTTTAGATGAACAATCGTGAAAGGTTAATTGTTAATTCCTTCTTTATTTCCACTCTATTGACAATAGAGCTAATGTAAAGTTTATTATTATTCTTTAAATCTGAATTTATTTAAATGTTAACTATTCTCTAAATTTGAATTAGTAAAATTATAATTTGGATTAGTACCTAAATGTAAAAGTTATAGTATTAAAATTTGTTCACATTTTCATTAATTTAAATAATTAATAATTTTTACTTAATTTTACAAACAAATTTTTGGGTCTATAAAGTATTTTTAAATTACAACTGCAATAAAAAATAAACAAATTTAAAATTTATTAAATTATTAATTTATTTCTTTCTATGAAAAACAAATATTTTATATTAAAACTAGCAAAATTAAACGCGCGCAAGCGCGCCAAATTGAGTATTTAATTGTTTGTTATAAAGAAATTAAAGATTAATATTATCAATAATAATTGAGGGGCTGATAGTAAAAATGGTTTAAAATAACATTAAGAGCAAAAATGGGATAAGTGACTTGGGAGCAAAAACGGGTTAAAATGATTCGTGTAATTTATTGATAAATTCATTATATTATCGATTAAAAAATATTAACAATAGGAAAAAAATGCATATTTTATTATAATTAATATTTTTTAATCGATAATATAATGAATTTATCAATAAATTACACGAATCATTTTAACCCGTTTTTGCTCCCAAGTCACTTATCCCACTTTTGCTCCCAATGTTATTTTAAATCATTTTTACTATCAGCCTCTCAATTTAACTTATTAGAATATTATTACATATTAAATGATAATAATGAAAATTATATGTTTACAGGCCTCGGATTATACGACTTTTTCCGACTTTTTTCAAAAGTACGACTTTTATCGACTTATTTTAATAAAATGCGACTTTTTTTACATTTGAAAAAAATGTAAATAAAATATATTTTTTTAGTATAAAATGTAGATCTTCTTCAGATCTTCTTCAATTCAATTATTTAACAAATTTTGAACTAAAATTATTCTTCACTAAATTAATTATTTTTACGAAGCTGAAATACGCAACGTTTATATAAATGATTTTTAAAGAAATAATTTTTTAAAATGAAAAATTCTATAATTTTTTGCCTAAAAAATATTTCTTGTAGTTTTCATTAATCAACAAATTATAAAAAAATATTTTTTAAGCAAAAAATTATAGAATTTTTCATTTTAAAAAATTATTTCTTTAAAAATTATTTAT